GATTATTTTCACTTGAATTTTCTGAAAACGTGAGTTTAAAGAACCAAGGTGCCCCAGCCACTTGAGAAACCACTCAAAGATAAACAGATGAATGGACTTCCTATCAATTACGCTCTCACCAATCCCCTGAAAAGGCGCTGAACGCCAAACTTGGGGTGGGGGAAGAAAGAAGACAGAGGAAAATGCTACTAACATACATTGCGTTTGCAGTTTTAACAAAGAAGCTTCACTGACTCTAGCATTACTTCCTGAAGGGGAATTTTCTTAAAGATACAATCAACAGAACCAAATGACTTTGAATTCACAAATTTTCCTGTTCTACCTGCTTATTTTAGCATGACACATACATCCCAGCTCATGAAGAATTACATTATCTTTTGAAGCGTTCTCCTGCATATGCGTATTCTATGCTTTCTTTTTTGTCCCCAGATTAAAGACACAGTTTGCAAATCCTTTCTGAAGCAGTCTGGGCACGTTTTGGTTATACCAGCCTCTCTCTGATCCTTGGCTGCAGACAGTATACACATGTGCATTTCAGAGATGAAGGATTTTGTCAGGACTTGGAAAAAAAAAAAAAAAAAAACAGAAACGAGGTGGGAAACGAAACTAACCCGTCTGTTATCAGGTGTCAGTATTCAAGTAATGAAAAAACGCAGTGATGCTTTTCACACCTTTCATCTGCAAGGGGAAGCAGTCAGCCGCCCCCGGCGCCACGTCAAGGGCATCCCTGCTGCGTGCGCTTCCTGCCCCGCGCGGACATACCTGGGCTGAAGAACCCGGGTATGAAGAAAGAAGAAAATTACAAATAATTCACCTCCTTTCAGAGCACTGTCAGTGGGCAGAAGAGCAATGGGCTCAGAGAACACTGCAGCTGCTAGGATGATAATTCCATAGCCATGCCAGCACGCAGCCCTGCTCTGAGGGACCGAATGCACCTTTTGTCCATACAGACAGGTGTTGGTAGCTCAGCCTGCAGGAGGGGTGGATGGGTTTGGAGCCTTCCTGGGCAGCAGTGGTTTGGGGGAAGGGGGGGAGGGAGTTCTGCTCCCACTACCATGGCCATGGTGAATGCTTTTAGGACTGGGAATCTGCCTTGGATTGAGGTCTTCATGGTGCAGCACCCAAGGAAAGTACTGGGAATCACAGAATCATTAAGGCTGGGAAAGGCTGCTAAGATCATCTTGCCCATCCATCAGCCCATCACTGCCACCACCTCTGTACCACGTCATGCTTCACCAACAAAGCTTAGTTTATCAGCACTTAGATGGCAAGGTGACACGTTCACAAGGAGAAAAATGGCCTGAAAGCCAGCCCTGTCTGAGCAGCTTGGTTCTGAGTAGAGTTTATATTGGCAGTGGAAAACCAATGCTCCCAAGTTCCAACACTTTCTTTGATACCAGTGCAGTAGTGGTGTGTTTGGGGACCCAAAATGCTTTGTGCATTTCACACTACTAAAAACTAGAACACAAAAAAATATGCAATTGTCTACAAATAAATACCACAAACTAACCCAACAAAAATAGATGATGCTTTCAAAAGTTTAATAATTTAATGTCACCGTATAGCTTTGTTAGCAGCAAAATGTCACAGCAAATATCACATCTCATCTATTTCAGTATGACGGTTTGTTTACTAACCACGTCGGCAGCCTGCCAGGAGGCAGCGCTTCTTGTCTCTGCTCATTGCAAGATTACACCTTTGGGAAACGTGGCACAGGTTGGAAACTCTCCTTCCTCTGGCTGCATCCTGCTCCAAGTAACTTGGTTCGTGCTGAAAGCCAGTGCTACTGCGGCCCCTGCAGCACAACCCATCTTCCAGCTGCAGGGCAGCTGCAGCCACCCCCAGCAGACAGCCTGAAATCCTCCGTTTGTAAACTCAACCACTGATGGAAGAGATACTGTATGTGCTGATGCTCCATATTATACAGTGACCCACATTCGTTTTTGTTTTTTTTTCACATTATAGAATGTTTTATTTAAGTTCTCCACCATTTTCTAAAATTAAGGAGTGGCACGCAGGAGAAAATGGCCTCAAAAAAATGTCGTGGCTGCTCTGAGGATTTCTTTGAAAGTTTGGATGTTATTGGAAATGAGAAGATGGTGATTGATGCTGTCCAAAATTAAGGCCTCTAAATCACAGAAGAGACAAGCCGCTGTTCCTACAAGCTCATATCATCCCCTGGGCCTAATGAATAGCAGCACCGTTTCTTAATGACACAACCCATCGTGTCCCTTCAGAAGAGCTATTGCTCAGGGCAGGTGGGACTGACACAGGGATGAGATCGGCTGCGTCCCGAGCCTGGGCCAGCACCCGTGGCACTTGCAGATGGCACAAGGCTGCTGCTCTGAACAGAAGAGCACAGACTCAGCCCATCTGAAATCACACTGCCAGAGCCAGGAGCAAGCAAGGGATGCCCCCAAGGGAGATGCACACTGTAAAATCAGACTTATCTTCTGGCAGTGCCTAACTCCTTCCATTGGGTCCTTGAGCCCATCCACTGCCACCAATGCTGCTCCGTGCCTGCAGCACTGCCCTGCCTGGCCATGCAGGTGCTCCAATTCTGCCTGGGATAGCTGTGGATCACCAGCCCCAGCTTCACTGATGAAAAAGAGAAAGAAGCAGGACACAAGACGTCAGGCTTGGGCTGCCCTGAGGGTTGCATTGAATGTGCAGCCACCCTGCTGTCCTCCGTTGTCACCATCCAGAGACACCATTATGGAAAAGTCCGACCATGCCACTCAGAGTTTGTGGTCATTGCCCATCTCTCCAATTCATGGGGCAAGGCAAGGATTAAGCGCCACCCAAATCAACCTAGAACAACTTTGTTGAGTTAGAAACAAATGGCAGCAGCAGCATTTTGCATGCTTTCCGTTTCAGGATGATGTTTCCCAATGCATGCTTGGCTCTGGGCTCATTTTCATGCTGCCCTGGCGGCAGCAGCTCCCCAGCTGCTGGGATGCATTCACACCTGGGGCACAGCCCTTGTGATAAGGAGGTGCAGCTCAGCCGGTCCCGCTCTGTTTGCACCCTCATGACCGTGGGGATGCCATGGTCAGGTCACAGCCTGATGTGCCCGTGTGCCCCCAGCCCTGGGGATGAGCAGAGGGAGCACTGCCAGCACCGAGCGCTGCGCATCTGAACGCTTCCTTCAGCACTGTGTGATCACTGCAAGTTAACGCCTAGTGCAGCCATGGATGAGTGCTCTTTCACTCCCAGACCACCACTCGCTAAGTTCTGAGCTCCCTTCCCTCACACCCCCCAGCCCAGAATCCCCCGCAGCTCTGCCCCGCTTCTCAGAACCGGGCTCCACTTTCGAGCTGTCGTTCTCCACCCACACGAGCCCAATCGGTACGTCAGCCTTTCCCATCATCGAGTTCACGTTACCATATCAATATTTGAAGGAATGATTTTATCTGCCCTAGGGTGGGTGACACACGCTCCCCATGCTCCCCACGCAGGTCTGTGGCTGCAGAGACATCCATGCCCCATGACGCCACATCCCCGAGGTACCCGGACCCCAGCAGCCAACCCCATCCGCTGGGATGGTGGCTCCTGCATCTGTGCAAGGGAGCTGAGGTCTTCTCCTGCAGGAAATGGCTTCGGGGTGGATGGACAGATAGACACATAGCTCTGTGTGCACCCCAGCTGCATCTCCTCCCCCCCGTGCCTGCAGTGGTTGTACCCAACTCTCCCTGTTTTGAGGGAAATTCAATGGCTGGAAATGATGTCCTCCTTCCATCAGCTGCCAGGAGAGCAGTGATTGTAGGTTGTCACAGTGATGGAATGCTCCAGCTCTGCTCTGCCTCTGCAGTGTCTGGACATCCAGTATAGAAGTAAGGCATTACAATGGGATGGAGTTTGAAACTCAGTGCTGGGATGGACCATGAAGCGCTTCGACTGTAGTGAGCATTAAAAAAGCTATGAATCAAACCTTGTGAAAAGGGAAATTTTTGATACAGCAGCCTGGTCCCCAGGCATGGGCACTGCAGTGCTGTCCCCGCAGGACGGGGTACGTGGTGCAGAGCTGAGCCAGACCTCGCTGAAACCCCAACACCCACACGCCACAAAACTCCCTCCGCTGCCTCTTCCTTTACATGCAAGAGCAATTTTTTTTGTTTCTTTGCAGATATTTAACATCTTGATATAAATCTTGAGGTTTTCTTTCCTTGCAAATCTGATTTGGACTACTTTAGCTCAGGGCTCTGCTGCTTTATGGCCAAGTGCTGTGAATTCTTCCTGGCTCTGGATTCATCTACCTCTCTCTATCTGCAGCTGTTCACTGCCTCTTCTCCGAGGTGCTGTAGTGATCCTCATGATGCCCATTGCCACCAGCAATTGTGGGCTCATCCATGGGGTCACCTCTAGGGACACGTGGCAGTGAGGTCCCTGTGCCAGTGGTTGGAGTGCCCACAGAAGCAATGCCCTTCACTGCCCAGTTCCCAAACACATGGGAGGGAAATACACCAGCATTCAAGCAATCACACAGGGTTGTGCCAAATCCCATGGCAGGAGAGCCCACCAATGTATCCGGCCACACACATCCACAGTGGGTCCTCCTGTGCTCCTCTTTGCCTTTTCTATGAACAAGAGAAGGAAAGCTTTGGGTCATGAGCCCATTGCCCAGCTTTGTTTCACCCCACAGTTGTAGCTCACATTCATGGCATTCATGGCACATGGTGTGGGGCTGCGCCGGGATCCTGCGGCGCCAAGCAGAAATTCTAGACTTCCCATTTCGGTATCTCTGAATCTATCAATAAAGTGATTAAAATCTGCATGATAGGGGAATAGCACATAAAGTTGGCTAAGGGCAAAAAGTCTTCGCTGTCACCATTACATAATCCCTTCTTTGGGGAGCAGGGCCTTGCTGCTCAATCAACAGCACAGGAAGAACCTATATTTGGTATCGGATGGGATGATGCTGCTGGGTCGTGCTATAAAAACACGTCCTACCAGCAGTGAGGCACTGAAGTCCTCAGAGCAAGCCAGGTAGCAGAGCCAAGATGCACCGCACACTGAAGGCTGCCCTTGCTCTCCTCTGTCTGGCAGAGCTCATTGCCTCCACACCACTGCCGACGAGCTCATCCAACCTGAAGCTGTCAGACATCACCCGACGCATCCAGCAGCTCAACAGAGGAGCGCAGGTAAGGACCAGAGAGCTTATGGCTTTTCCTCACCAATGGCCATTAGCTGGCACTACTGACTGAGCATTTCTAGCTGTTGGCAGCCAGTGCAGTGCACAACCCTGGCCCTCTTCTAGCATGGCCTCTCCCCATGGGGTGACATCTGGAGGGTGCAGCTCTTCCCCTCAGCTGCTCAGCTGGGACAGGGCAGCTGACACATGGGCAGTGCTGAAAAAAGCTGCAAAATGCCACAGCTCACGCGGAGTGCTGCTTGGGGTGGCCATAGGCAGCCAGTGGCAGGGACATAGAAGCAGGGCTGGGTGACAATGGCAGCGCTTGGGGCCCGTTGATAGGGCGCCCTGTCCCTGCACTGTGGGATGAGGACACTGCATCTCCGGGCAGTGGTTGGCAGGGCTCTGCAACTGATAGCTGCTCCTCGCCCACTGCTGGTTGGCTGTGGGTGGTGCCATTGTAGGGGTGCAGTCTGCTAACTACAGCTCTTGCTTCTGTCACCTCCCCAGGTCCCTTGCAATGACACCAGAGTGGCACAGGTGGCTTTCACGGATCGGAAGGTAAAAGAAAATTCAGAGATATGTGGAAAACACACTTTTATTTGGTATAGCCATAACCAGAGCACTTGCCATCACTATGCACAGAACACAGAGCTCAGAGTGGGAGAGATCTCCCTGCCCTAAAACGAAAAGGGCTGGGCTTTTGGCCAGCACCCATGCATGCCATTGCTGCACACAGCACAGTGCAGCCAAGGGTTTAGGAAGTCCCTGGGAAGACTCCCACCAGCCCCGAGCATTCAGGTGGGCAGCATGGTGTGAAGCCAGTGCTGTGGTGCTGACACTCATGTTCATGTTCACAGCTGTTGGAGCAGGAACTGCTGTGCCAGGCTGCCACAGCGCTGGCCAAAGTGACCCGCTGCAAGAAGGACTACGAGCCCCTCATCACCAGTCTGCAGAGCCTGCATGGCCAGACGGTAAGCACAGAGCAGGGTGATGCCCTCACCCCCGCAACTCCAGCATCCCCAGCCCTGAGCATTGCACCCCACGCAGCGGCATTGCAGCCATCTCTGCATCTCATTCTGGGGGCTGCAGCCATTCCCACACTGCAAGATGGTTCATCATGGGGGAAGATGCTGAATTAATCATAGAATCATTAAGGTTAGAAATGAATGATCATCAAGTCCAACCCCAGCCCATCCTCACCGTGCCCACACCCCCAGGTGCCACATCTCCACATTCCTATGCTTGCAGGAGTGTAGCTGGGTGTTTGTCCACAGCCCCCCCCAGGACACCCCATGGCTATGAGGTCCAGGGAGACAAATGCGATGGGACCGCTTGCTTTTCCTGCCCCATTGGCTACAAACTGCTGAGCCCTGCTGTGTGCTCACATTTACATTTCTCCTTCCCCAGAGCTGCTCGCTGAGCACCGACAATGAGATCTACCTGCGGAACTTCTTGCCGGCGCTGGGGAACTTCACCCAGGCGCTGTACCGGCGGACCTCGGCCACGGCTGCAAACTGAAGCCCAGCTCCACTGCCTCCACCCTGTGGCCCCACACTGGGAGCTCCTCAGATTGGTTCTACAGCTCTTCACAGTTCTAAGCTCTTCACAGCGTGCACTTCCCCAGCTCTGAACCCAAACCCAACTCAGTCCTAAGTGCTCAGGAGCACCCCAGCCCTGGCTGTCCTCTATGGCAAAGGGAACATCCCCATCCCCATCCCCATCTCCATCCCCATTCTCATCCCATCCCATCCCAAACTCCATCCCCATCCCCATCTCCATCCCCATACTCATCCCCATTCCAATCTCCATCTCCATCTCCATCATCTCCATCTGCATCCCCATACTCATCTCCAACCTCCTCCTTACCTCCATCTTCATCCCCATCCCACCCCAGCACCTCTCTGGCTGAGGCCAAGCTCTCTGCATCCCATAACCAAGTGCTGCAATGGGTCCCACATGCAGGGGGACACCGGGGACACGTGTTCCCTATCCCCAGTGCTGGGTATTCCCAAAGCAGCTATCAACACAGTTCTTTAACTCATTCACCTCCCAGTGCAGAGACAAGCAAAACCAAAACCAAATTATCTGCTTCCTGTTCCTCTAATGAGGGGAGGCTTCTCATCCTAACAAGATCAAGATCTAGGCTGAGGCACAGCTTTGCACGGAGGCCCCACTGCAGTGCTCGTGAGATCACAGCAGCAGCAGGGAGCAGGGAGGCAGCACGGCCAGCACGGTGCTTTAACTTTCAGTGTCTGTGTGCTTCTAAGTTATTAATAGCAATGTTAGGAGAGTCTGCAGGACGACTGGACCCAATGGGTGCTCACGGGCATCCTACTTCTAGAGATTATTTATTATGTTTTATTTAAATAACTTATTTTTTTACTGCACAATCTAAAGATTCAAGAAGTCCGGGCTGGTGGAAGCAGCTGTTGTGTGCTTTTCTTCAGCTCAGGCCCAAACGAAAGGAGAAAGACAGCGTTCAGATGCTTTGTTTTTAACTTATATGATAGTAATGCTGTGGAATACAGTCATATTTAAAATACTGCTACCTCACTTCCAGGGAACCGTTAATGCCTGATTAATTGCCTTTCCGCGACAACAAATGAATGTATGCTGATGGATAATTTATTATTCTTCTCTGTATTTAAAGTATTTGTATGATGTCAGAGTTAATATATTCAAATCATTCCATATTTGGATGTCAGTATTCTGTTTTTCATTTGTGACTTTGCACTGATGTTGTAGAAATGTTATTCAATAAAGCACTTGTATGGGAACTGCTGAGTCCCGGCCTGCACCACTGATGGAGCACCTGGGGAAGGACCTGGTCAGCCCTGGGAGCACAGGTGAAGGCAATTCAGCTGTGTGATCAGAAAGGGTGGAGCCTGGCTCAGCCCCTCTTAGTCCTCATTTAAGGGCTGATGGCCAGTGGGAAAGGATCTCTTCTTGGAGATCTCTCCTTTGTGGAGTCTTTCTATGAGCCTAATTCTTTGGATACAGGTGAGTTTTTTGGTTTTTTTTTTTTTTTTCTTTTTTTTTCCCCACCTATCTGAGGCTGGTCCTGCTGCCATTACAGCACTAACCAGGATCTCACTGAATGCTGCTGCTCCATCTCCTTGTGCTGCCTTGCAGATGCTGTTTGTATGGGGCTGGGGGTGCTTGGGTGCTGACAGGGAGCAGACCAACCACTGATGTGTGTGTGTAACATGGGTCAGCTGCAGCCTTGGCATTGATTTATGGATAAACCACAGCCCTTCCTTTGGGCCAAAGATTAAAGGGGCAAGCTAAGCTCTGTGGAGAAGGACCTGAGCATCCTGGTGGCCACCAGTGAGGTAGCAGTATGCTCTCATGGCCAAGAAGGCCACTAGTGTCCTGGTTGATAAAGGGTTAACAGACACTTGATGAATGCTGGCCCATGAGCCAGCAGTGTGCCCTGGTGGCCAAGAAGGCCAGCAGTGTCCTGAGGTGTGTGTGGCCAGCAGGCAATGGAGGGTGTCCTCCCCTCTGCTCTGCACTGAGGAGGGCACATATGGAGCACTGCATGCAGTGTGAGGCTCTCAGCTGCAGGCAGATGGGGAGCTGCTGGAGAGAAGCCAGAGGAGGGTGCAGAGATGGGGGCCTGGAGCACCTCCTGATGGGGACAGACTGAGAGCCCTGGGGAGGGAGAACCAAGAGGGGATCTGCTCAGTACTGATCAGTGTCTGAAGGGCATTAGGACAGGGTTTGGTGGTACCCAGTGGCAGGAAAAGGGGCAGTGGGAACAAAAATGGAGCCCAGAGAGCTCTATCTGAACATACAAGGAGGACTTCCATGCTGTGAGGTGGCAGAGGCTGGGAGCAGAGCCCAGAGGTGGGGTGGGAAGACTCTCCTCTGAAGTTGCTCACACCTGCCTGGATGCTGTTATGTGCAGCTGCTGTAGGGGACCTGAGAGGTGATCTCCAGAGTTCTTTTCCAACTCCTACACTTCAGTGATTCTGAGCTGTGAGGTCACAGGGACACCAGTGTTGGCATTCCTGGTAACCACAGTCCCTGTGGTGTGTGCAAAGGAGCAGCTGGCACCACTTCCATGGGAATGGCAGTGGGTTCGTCCCTGCAGGATGAGAGCAGTGCAGGAGGAGAGAGGAGCAACAACACACAGGTGTGTGCAAATTGGTCATCAATTAACACAGGCTTGTATGTAAAGATAATTAGGGGCAGGTCCCCAAAGCACTGAGGATAGAGCAAGTGGGTGGGATGGGGAAGGGCTGGAGCCAAGACCTGCAGCAGAGGAGCCTGACAACGAGATGGGCTGAGCTTGGGGAGCTTCCCAGGAGCGCAGCTGAGCTCTGGGACCTCTGGCCCTGCAGGGCACGATGGGGCCACACTGTGGCCATAGGCAGCAGCACCATCCCTGCTGCATCCCACCCTTGGGAAGGGGTGGAGTTTGACCTGCCCTGCACCTTGCCCATCACCCGCTGATGTGGTTTTCCACAGTGATTCAGCCCAAGTAGCTCAAAGGTTACGTTTTTCTGTTAATTTGGCGTTTTTCTTTTAATCAACTCCAGTTCTAGAGCTTTCCACCGTGAGCACTGCAGGAAACGCTGTGGCTTCTGCTGCTGCCCCTCGAGCAGCCCTCGGGATGCCCACCCTGTGCCACCCCGTCCCCTTCTGCCCTGCACTGCTGGCAGCTGAGCTGTCTGTGCCCGCAGGGAGCAGCACGGTGCTCCCCTTGCTCATCCTTCACAGAGGTTCCTTCTGAGTCAGCAGCACTGACTTCAGCCGGGGCATAATTAGACAAACAAACTTAGTCTGGCTGCTCCTAAATTAATGGAGAGCTCGCAGACTCTTATCAAGCATCTGATGGTAAGTTGCTATTTGAGTTAGAAAATTACCTATTAGTTATTACAAAACTCCGAAGTTTCCCAGCTCAGCTAATTTCTCAGCATTATTTCCTGCAGTGATGCCACCAGCACTGGTGTTGTCACCTGCCAGGGCGGGACATGGCATCCCCAGCTCTGTGTCACTGCGGCAGAGCCATGAAGCCACACGTCCCCATGTCCTGGTGGGTGTCACAGGGCCAGAGAGAAATGGGGAGGAGATGGCTCTGGGGTGAGCTTGCTGTGGCCTGTCAGGACCTAAAGGGGCTGGGGGAAAGGAGGGGACAGACTCTTTCCCAGGGTCTGTTGGGACAGGACAAGGGGAAATTGTCCCTAATTAAAGAGGGGAGATTAAATTGGCTACAAGGAAGAGTTTGTTCATGCTAAAGGTGGTGAGGCACTGGCTGCTCAGAGAAGAGGTGCTGCCCATCCCTGCAGACAGCGCAGGTCAGGCTGGGGGGCTCTGAGCACTGGCAGAGCTGGGGATGCTCACTGTGGGGAGAGGGACCAGGTGGCCTTTCGATGTCCTTTCCAACCCAAACCGAGCAGTGATTCGATGTCTCTCAGCTCTGTCACAGCTCTCTGCAGGTCAGGAGGTCCCGGTGCCCCATGCTGACCCAGTGCTTTCTGTTTCTCCCCGTGCAGGTGGAGATAACGACCAAATTGTGTGCACATCAAGGGTGCTTTGCATGATTTGGAGATATTCAAATGACAGGAGAGGCGAGCGATGGAAGCGCTCGGAGGATATTTAGAGGAAAAAAAAGCAGCTTTGCTCTGTTATCTGCACGTGGTCGCATCTGCGGTCCTCAGTGCGGCTCACGGCGCCCGAACCTCGCGGGGAGAGAAAGTCCTGGGATACGGAGAAACAAGAAGCAAAAAGCTTCTACGGAGTTTTCTTTTTGTACCATCTGCCTCCTACCACCGTTATCTGAACGGTGGAAATTTCCTACGTTGAAACGTAATGTGAGATCAGAAGAAAATCTTGACTTCTACAAAAAAGACCTGTTCTCCTAAATGGATATGAGCAACTTTGGAAAGTGCAGATAAGGGAAAAAATCAGTTTTTTCCCTCCGTTTCAGCACTTTTAAAGCCATAAATTGAGATGTTTCACCCAGAAAAGCACAGACAGGTGTGCCATAGAGGCCATGAGCTCCTCACTGCCCACCCTGCTGGCATTGCTGGTGCTGCTGGCCGGCCCTGGGGCTGTGTGCACCCTGCGCTCACAGACCTCGGTGCTGCTGAAGGAGAGCATCCGGATAGTGAAGGACATGCAGAAAGAGGTATGGAGCACAGCACTGGGCTGGGGGGGCTGAGCTGCACTGAGATGTCCATGCAGTCTGTGTGTCTGTCTGCAGGTGTTGTTCAGATTGGTATCAATCTCCCTAAATTGCTCCTCTCTTCTCCTTCTCTCAAGGTTTCCTGTGGCAAGATGAAAGTGACAGATATCTTTGAAGACAGTAAGGTAAGAGAAAAGCCAGAGCAAGAGCTGGGAGAGGTGCTGGGAGAGCAGGATTGAGTCTGAAGTGGGAGCTGCATGGGATGAGGAGCTTGTCAGTGCCATGATGCTGTGGGGTACCATTACCACTTAGGTTCTTCTACAGCCAAAAAGGACAGGGAGCACAGCGCTGAGTGCATGCTTCAGCAGCACAGAGCTTGTTTGTG